TCTCTATATTCACAAGCCCAGTAGAAAATGTAACCACTACGCAGATTACATCACTTGGCTTTCAACAATGCAATTTAACTCAATCCTCTCATCATCGGAATTTTCAAACTTAGACTTTTACTCTGGGCTTATGTAATATCAAGTGGAGACGAACAACGTGTCATTTATATTCTTTAAAATGAAAGAGAAATCCTTTCTTCCATTAAGGGAACAACCACTCGCCCCGGTCGGATTGTAGAGAGAATACAAAACATCTAATAGTCCAAGATTTCAGGTAAACTGAGACCTACAGTGGTCAAACAACGACTGGAGAAAATAAAAAGGACACTGCACTAATTTGAACATCGAAAACCTGCTAGCTTCCTCAAAATGAAAACAAGCGGGAAAAAGGAGCAGTGATTACGATTAGGGAGGAAGACGAAGAGCCCCGTCCAGTCGTATGGTCGTACCATTGAGCATTTTATTTTCTATAATACAGCAGGCAAGGTCAGCGAACTCCTCGGGTCGGCCAGGACGATTTGGAAAGGGGACACTCTTTACAAGGTGGTAGAGAGCACCTTTGGGAATTTTAGCGATTGCCGCTTCGGTATCGAAGATGCCTGAAGAGAGATTTACAAGTGGATCAACCGACCGCCGGCATCCAATCGCAGAATGGCTCCATTTAGCATCTTTTCTTTCAAGCAAATAGCAACGGCGTCTGCAAACTCGCACGAATGACCCTGACGGCCAATCACAAGCTGCACGTCGTTTATGTAGCTCAACACCTCTGGTTGAACTTGACGATCGCCAAATAACAACTTGCTTTCAAAAAGACCTAAATCAGAAGTGCAGATGCAGCTGATCCGCTGACTAGTGCTTCAGTACATCTCCATGAGTCCAAAACAACCAGAATTATAGTACTCAACCAAGCACGTAGATACCTATTCTTTAAACACAACAAAACCACAATTTGGTATAAATCGGAACCACTAGAAGAGGCAAAAGTTTAACAAGCCACAAAACCGCAAGTCTCAAACACTACATCTGCGCCGGGTATTTTTTGAAAAGCTATCTTTGACAGATCATAATTCCTACCTGGAGCAATGGTGACACAGCGAATCCCATGCCGAGACAGATCTCTTGCAACGGGGAGCGTCATGCCTACGATGGCAGCCTTGCTGGCTGCATAAGCGACCTGTCCCACTTGACCCTCAAAGGCAGACACACTAGCTGTGTTGATAATGACACCTCGTCCCCCATCCTCATCAGGTTCGTTTTGAGCCATTGAGAGCGCAGTAAGACGAATAACGTTGAATGTTCCTACAGTATTAATCTGCAAGTCCCTCTTAACAGGCGCCGAATTCCACACCTACTTTCAAAACACGTTCGAATTCCTTCAAGTCATGCGGTTTGCTTGAGGAATTTGAGATAACCTTCCGGGAAATTCCGACACCGACACAGTTCACGACGCAATTTATGAGCGAAAACTTAGACTTGGCTAGATCAATTGCATCTTTGACAGATTCCTCTGACGTAATCTTAGGCAATTATGAAAATTCAAATACGCAAGTACATCGGTCTCAGAAAACACAGCGTTATTCCCAAGTTCGTCAATTTCACTTGTTCGATTAGTATCACACACTACAACTTTGCAACCTTCCTGGAGTAATTTTCTGGTGGTGGCAAGTCCAAGGCCAGACGCACCGCCTGTTACTAGGGCTGAGATATTCTAGAAATTAAGTAATGGAGATTAACCAACTTTAAGAGATAGCAAGACCCCAGAAAACCGCATGTTTCTGCTCCACAGCTATTTACACGACTAGGTCCTTCTGCTAACTCCAATATGACCTTGTTTTCAACGTTAGAATGACCGTCATTTCACTTATTATTCTGCAAAAACAGGTGTAGGCGTCTATTTTATTGAGGCTTTATTGATACAATATGACCTGTATTGTTAATTTTAAAAAATATAGGTTATGGGAGATCAGATTCCGAGACCATATTAATTAGATATAAGACATTAAAATTTCTCGTGCAAAAGATGCCTCAATGATAAGTCGAACAGTCTTTTTTGCCTTGAGCCTTGATGGTTCCTTGGAGCACAGCTTGTTTGCATGCGTTTTCATTCGACGTTGCAGGAGAGGAGAATCAACAGCGCGGAAGCAGGAAGGCGGCTGTACAAAGAGCCAAATTCGAGAAGCGCCACTCAGTCTCTCCGATTCGACGTCTGCTTTTTATGCTCTTGCTTTGGCTCTAACGAAATCTGTGTTTATAACTCTGTTTATTATGGTACTTCCATAAACGTGGTGAATGTGATTGTGTCGGACTGCAAACCACCATTCATCATGACTGTAAGGTGATAAATTGGCAAAAGGCAGACTACAAACTAGTAAGCATGATGAATGTACAATAACTCTGCGCAACACTAATGCAGTGCACAATGTCAATTTAAACTGAGCCTTGTAGTTAAGAGACACCAAATTAATTCGAATGCCGCACTCGAGGATCAGCAACTTCAACTTCTGAGTCTATTAGACATCGATTTCTCCTTCGTTGTCGATATTTTTGTGTTGTGTACCCATGTGTCTAATAGGGTAAGTAAGCAGTCTCATGAA